AAAGAAAGTTCACTCTAATATGAGTTACTGAAAATGAAGTGAAACCTCCGTTCCAGTTGACTTTAATCTTCAGTGGGAATGTTCACTTTACAGAACATTAATATCGTGATCTTCAGTGTTGATGTCTGTTTATATTCTCAAAAACCATTTCACTTTCGAAGAAGGTGCTCGCAATGGTAGGTTTTACTGTTTAGGCATTTAAAGTTATTTGATTTTTTTTTTTTTTGACAGTACAGCAAACTGTCTCTAAAGAAACTATTTGTGTTTTTTGACAATTCTGGTCTTCTGTGGAGGCGGTTATGTCTGTGGAGGCATCTTAGAAAGTCGATATACATTACTGGTGTTTGCTTATGCTCTTAGAAATATTGATCACTTTCAAACTGGTTATCTGTGGAGGTGGTCACTAAGAGAGAATGTACTACGCTTTATTTCGAAATTTTAATCTGGCAGCTCCGTTGTTTCCCTGTCCGAATAGTTTACAATTCAGTTAGCAATTATTGTCGCTAGAATGAGTATTTTTAAGCCAAATTCAAGATACTCTCCCTCTGTGCGCAGTACGACTTGAGTGAAAGCATTTTACCTTGCTGAAATTAATATCACGAATAACACATGCATTTGTTTAATAATCTTCTCAAATAATATTTTTCCCCAACTAAGGGAATTATTCTTTTCCCTCAGAAATGAAAACATTTCAATTTTATTTATCTTTTAGTATCCCAAAAGCATTTGTTTTGTGGTATTGCGATTATCACCCCCAACCTCCAAAGCTATCCCCTATTCATCTGTGGAGATGGTCTTCCTAGAGAGGTGATGTTAAGTATCGATGTTTATTTATGTTGTCAGAAATAATGATCACTTTCAAAGATGGTTCTCTTCTTAAGGTGTACAGCTCGAGAGGTTTCGCTGAATATGAAGGCTCATAATTGTCCAAAGTCATAATAGACGAACAGATAGACGAAATGAAGTATGTGTTTGCCATATTTACATTTAATAGTCTAATAATCCCAAATAATAATGTTGTTAAGACACAATAACACGCCGAATAAATACTAATTCAGAAGTCAAACAACAAAAATCAGCGTTATATTTACCAAAATATAACGCTGGTAAATATAACGCTGATTTTTGTTGTTTGACTTCTGAATTAATAATGTTGTTATCGATCAGTAATAATGTCGAAACTCTAGAGCTTCCTTCTTGTATTTTCCGTTGAACAAAATAAAAAAATTAAAGCAAAATAAATACTACACCTATCTGAACCTTCTTGTAGTATTGTGAAATTTCGGGTAGTACTAGCTCCGAATGCTGTATCTTTTAGAAACGACAAATTTTTCATCTTCGCTTCCTTTCAGTAGGTGCTGACACTAAAGGTGGAGTACCCAGGAGGTGCAAAAGGACATGTGCACCCCCTCCAAGTTTACTCTTCTCATTTCTCCTCATGCTTAATTTTTTTTGCATCATATGCGTCTTGGACAATATTTATATATAAAAGAGGGGTGCATCCCTAAAGAATATGTTCCGTTCCCCTTCCCAAACAGGCTCCTGTGAAAGAAATGCAGGAGGCATTATTTCTTTCCAGATAATGATATGTAAGCGCCTAAAGCAGGTCTTCTGAAAGTGCCCATCTAAGCATATCATCTCTTTATGGAGTTGAATGGTGCTCGAGCAGTAGTCTCGGCTCTCGGTAAATGAACAGTAGTCAGGAAATCCATGGCCTTTCGCTCAAGTTGTTATGTTTGTAATCTTATAGCTTTAAATGCGCTTGAATATTTTTTTTTTTTTTTAATTTTTCGATTCGACCATGAGTAAGAGTAAACAGCAGTCGCTTTTAAATTATGTTAACTCTGGTGAAAAATATTCCAAATGTCAATTTGAAGCAGGAAACTCTGCTTTAAATAACAATGAAGAAGTAGAAAATAGCCTATCTGAATCGGAAACAAGTAGAGATTAATAATTCACTATTCTTCAGAAACTACCTATGATATAAAAACGACATCGCAATTTGAAAAATATGACATATCAAATTACGTCAATTGTAAGTTAACTGACGAAGAAAAAACTGATTTCATTGGAAAATTTTGGTTGCTAATAGCTACATGTGGGTCTTCAAGCTCTTCATTTGGTAATGAGAAAGTGAATAGGAAATTTCAATGTAATTTGCTGTTAGAATAACCAGCATTTCTTAACTAAACCACATAGACCCGGAGTAGTTCTATTTATCTGTGATACAACTCTTTTCAACTGAAGCATCGTTAAAATACTGTTATAAGGTTCAGAGTTGGAAGAGTTAAAATGCAATGGGATTCTTCTCCGAGCTCAGCTTATCAGGACTTGTGTTCCTCTTGACTTGCCTTCGAAACATGAACTGTCCTGACTCGGAACAGTGAGCTTACTCAAGCTATGTTCAATAAATTGTGAAGTAGACAATACACACAGGAAGGGTATAAGAAACCCTTATTTTTTTTTTTTCTATCTTTACAGAGATTTCTGGAACTTCGGAATACAGAGACCAACCACTTGTGGTCTGAACGTAAGATATAAAACTACTAACTAAAACTCTAACTAAAACTAACTTTGAATGAGTATACAGTGCCTAGCAATAAGATGGCCGTTATTTAACAAAGTCCTGTGTAGTACGGAGAGCTGCTAAAACTACGATACGTTTGAAATTATCAAGAGGACTAAACCTCTGGCCTTGAAGGCAACAATCAACCGAGTGAAAGCTCGTAAACGACAATGGCAAGCGGCCTGCTTCCAATAACTCCTCCTCTATCTTGCTTGGCAAAAAGCCACAACTTAAGTACTTGGCGTTAGCAAGACAAATTTACATAAATAAGTTAAAGCTTTTAATTCTGGCCGGAAGTAGAAAATAAGAAGTGATAGTAAAGATTTAAATAAAATAAACGTTAGTAAAACTTAGGATCCTTACAAGCTTAGTAGAAAGAAATGTTGGGTGATGATTCCTACTTGAAGAAATGGCATAGCAGATGCTATCCCAGACACATATGTTATCCGTGTATCGCTCTGGCTCTTACTTCTTACTTTCCTTGCGTTTGCTTTGACTCATTTGAAGGCTATGAAGTTTGACAAAGAAGACATACGGAAAGTTCCCTAAGTTTTTTTCTGCTGTCTCAGAGCTTTCTGGCACTCACGGTTCTACCATGGGTTTGGATATTTTCGTAGTTTTGCTGATATCATAGGTATAGAGACTATTGCTGCCTGCATAATAGCATCAGTAGCTGATTTCACTGCTTCATCGGTAGGCACATCTGTGGAAAAATGGGAAGCTGATCGTTATTGTAAGGATCATTCCCTACACTGAGCAAACTAAAAAGAAATGATGAACAGATGGCAAGATCAACAGCATTAAAAGTTTTTGCAGGCTCGTGGAAATAGGTATTTGTCTATTATTGAGGAGACAAAGGCAGTAATCTTCGATCATTTGCTCTATCTGCCTGCCTCGAGAATTTGTATCCTTACTTCCACACAGCGGGCAATTGGCATTGAAGATTCCCATTACGATAAAGGTGTTCTGTTAAATAATCTAAATCTGGTTGATCGATGTGTTGGTTTGGAGGCAGGTAAAGAGAACAAATCGAAACCAAATTCCGTACATTAACTTTAATGGCTACAGCTTGGAAGCTCGTTCTTAACGAGATTGAGATCGAGGAATAGTCAAGTAAAGCTAGAACTCACACGCACAATCACCATCAGGATTTCCTTTACTCTTCAAACAGTATCTTCAAAGCTTAACCTGTTGCTCTGATTTCTACAACGTTTCCTGGACTGCCAAGCACACAAGACGATACACACAGATAATGTGTTTGATATCAAAGAGATTTTGGGGGAAAACACGACATTTTCATGATATGAGAGGGGCGATTAGGAGTGGTATTTGTTCTTTCTGTGATGCGTTTTTATTTTCTCTATTTACAAGTTATCTGAATCAACAGAATCAAAAATCATGTCATCAAATGAACTATTACTAGCACTTCTATGTATGTTAGTTTTTATTTTAGCGAGTTCATTTTTTTTTATTACATCAGTTGATTTGTCATTTTTGGGCTTACTTCTAAACTTCTGGGATTTCGATGATGGTGTTTGTGTGTTAACTGATGTTTAGTTTCCAATAGATCGAGTTGATTTAACAGCACTTGCAAAAGATATGAATGCTCATGGTTGAGTGCCTTCAACTATCCTTCTGGCTTCTGCATAGGATACGTTTCTCGCAATTTTAATAGCCTGAACTTCCCTGTCTGACTTCCATTTGGGACATGAGCGTGAGAAGCTACGTTTTCAGCCTTACAATTTATGCACAGGGGAGCAGCGGTACAGGTTTTACTATCGTGGCCTACCATCGAACAACGTGCACACGTGAGTTTACCACGGCAGGAAATCTTAGAGCAGGGGTTCTCAACCGGTGGTACGTAAGAGAAAAATAGGGGGTACGCAAAGAAAAAGTAAATTAAGAAAAATCTCGTTAAGAAAAAGAAGAATTGATAGAAATTTCCTGTGATCAAACTCATACTGAAGATTTCAAAACCAATACACTTGTTAAATTTTGTCTGAACCGAAAAATAACTTTAAAGGCAACTTTAAAGGTGTGAACACAGATTTTCTTCCATGTTATATTTAAAAATTAAATGCAGAACAAAATTAAAAGTGGATCTTTATTTGCGGTTAAAACTAAGTGAAATAAGACCAAACACAAAGAAATTTGTCTCTCTTAAAGAGCCCAACTTCCGCACTAAATTTTAGAATTAAAGTATTATAACTTAAATTTTGATAATAAAAATGCTAACCCATTTTTAATCTAATATATTTTTTGTGTATGCATATTTAATATATAAATAGCCAATAGGTTGTGCAAATGGCAAAATATATTTACTTTTAATATTTCTATTGAGAAATTGAAAAATAATCATTGTAAAATGTAGCGGTGGTACTTAAGTTTTTCCGTTTTTATTTAGATGGTGCTCTCTTAGAGTGACCAAAAGCTGATACTGGAAACATCACATCGGCTACGGAATATATGGTCGTATGGGATAATTGAGGTACCCAGCCTTAACATTTTTAGGCAGATCAGGAGAGTTGAAGATCAGGGTTACATGTTTCGTGTTTATCAACTGACCTTCCTTACGCACCATGATCGGCCTGGCAGCACAGACATTTTCATCAGCTAGCTCTAAAACGAACTTTTCTTCGTAAACAAACAGAAGGTCGAACTCAGAAATTACGCCTCTACAAAAGTTTAGCATTTTTATGTGCATACACAGTTACATCAATTTGCCCGAGCTTGGTTAATCGATAGAGAGAAGCAGATTGGATGGCTGAAGTTGTATCGATAAACAAATCTCCAGAAAGACGAAGCTTTATATTTATTGGCTCGCTAATGAAAGAACGATTATATTTATTAATTACGAATGGTAATTAATACCTTTGACATTTCTTCAGAAGGGCTTGAGACTACAAGGAAATGTGGACATACGTTAGGTTTATTAGCACTTGCATCGGTACGCATCTTTTTTATAGTAAATTCTTCAGCATGTTCGGTATTTGTAATGATGTGATTAGATTCTTGGTTTTTAATCATACGAATATTTGGAGTCGCCATATTTGAAAGAAAAAAAGATTTGAGTCCGACCGCCCAACCCTCCACGGATCCCAAAAAGGGAGCCCAGATTCCTGTGTTCCTATAACAAACTGAAGCTCCATGGTCGGCTTTCCCGAAAGCAGGTACTCCCGAGACCTTATCCCCAAGCCGCCGACACTAAGGTCAGAAGAACAGCCGATTGACACCCGTGAGGACAACAAAGTGCAGTGTATTAGGGACAGTACCTTTTCCCTCAACTATCAGGACACTCCTTTCCAGTGACACGGATCTCTACACATGGCAAACACATGAGTAGTTTTCTCGCCACTTAAAGCTAGAAACAAGAGCTGTAGTAGCCTCTCATGACTAGCCTCAATCTCTAAAAGAGGAAAACCACAGTGAAGAGAAGTCGGAGACAGATGGTGTTAAGAGAAGGGGAAAAGAAGAAAATAACCTGATAATACATAAATAAAAATATATGTTGACTTGTGACCATTTTTTCGATCATTAAAAGATTTTTATCAATTTTCCAATGATGTTGAATTCCAGCGATTCTAGTAAGTAACTATTTTTGTTCTCATGGTATTTTTATTATTTTTCTTAAATGTTCTTTAGTTTTGTAACTTTTATAACTTACGATGTGATAAAAATTACATCAATGCTTGAACAGTTATAAATAGGAGAAATAAGGTTGATAGAGCGTATACTTTAGTTTTTTACCGTGTAATAATTATAAACTAAAGAAATTGCTTCTTTCATGGCAATAATTTCATGCACTCCCCCACACACAAAAAAAAAATTAATTTCTGAGTACGCCATTGGGCACTAATATCCTTGACCTAACTTTTTTATTAAAACGATAGCGCGAAAAGGATATTTAAATTTACAGTACGCGCCGTTTAATCAGAACACGATTGTCCACGGCTATTTTGATAACAGTAACGGAATAACATTAACTGATAAGAAGTTTCCTTGAAAATAACAGTTGAATTTAAGTAATTTAATAAAGAAGCGAAGAAGCAGTCTCAGTTTAGCTTAGGTCTTTACAGAGAATGTTTTCCCCCTCCTAAAGAAGAGAAATTCGCAGATTTTTTTTTTTTTTTTTTTTCTGCTAAAGTACTACTACCTGTGGCAGATCACTCTCAAGATCGATGAAATTATTCAATTCTACGCCAAACTACATCCCCCCTTTTTTTGCCTAATTTTAAATGGCTGCAGTCTGTTTTGCACCCTTACTTCTACATTTTTCTGTCACTTGGCAGTTAATTTTTATAATTTTTTTCTATTTTACTTGACTGCTCAGTTTAAAACAAATTTATTCTATACTACTTTTATTTTACTAACCGAACTGTCGATCGGTTTACCGTGTTTCGTATACAAACGAGTGATGTTTACCGTGGTGTCATATACAAATGAGCGAAGCTCTGACAATTAGATAACTGCCTAAGAATGTTACTATGATTAACCGCGATCACACTAAGCGGAGTCTACTGTATTTCGTCTTTTTCTGTCTTATTAGGAACGTTAGGTTTTATTTCGAAATTTAAATTTGGCAACCCGGCCGCCGCTGTCGAAGAGCTAGCTGCTTTGGAAGAGTGAAATCCGTTATCTCTCAAGGTCGACACATGCACTTTCCTCCGAACTAGTGAAGCAAAAAGTAACTTCTTTCAAATCGACGGATATTTTTTACCCTTTTATTTATTTGCATATATATCACATTAGTTTCAAATTAGAATATTTGAAATCAACTAAGCTGACCTGCGGGGAATAACATACCCTTTACCCATTGTATGGATGATGAAGCCTAAAGAAAAAAATAAGCACAAACGTTGGCGTTAGAATAGAATGAGAAATTGTTCGCTCCTTTCAGTTTGTGCGCATTCGGGAACTTTCACATGTACGTGCCGAAAAATACAGAAGATAAATTCTGCAGCAGTATAAATATGGGGAAGGGGGTGGCGCTACGGTTTACATTACTGTCAAATATAAAATAATACTTTACGGAATGTGCATAATATTTAAAGACTCATTGATAAAAAAAATGAACTTAAAACTCCTGAAAAATTTTTTGTCTTTACTGATTCAGCTTAATAATATCAAGTTCTAAATTTAAATCTAAATTTAGAACTTGATATTATTATCGCTCTAAATTTTCGCTTTCTTTTAAACGGAAATTATCACAGTGAACTCTGTAGTGGCAACCGCATTCCGAAGACTTCCGCTTCTAAAAGTGATTAATACCTCTGAAAACACAAGCAAGCAGTGACACTGAACTTCACTTCCGTAAGACAACCACCTCCACAGAAGACCGAATCATCCGGACCGTAAGTGAAAAGGCTCACTACATTTCATTTTCCCATTTAAAGCAATAGTCCCTTATAAAGTTTCTAATAGAGAAATTCCTGCGAAACCTTCAAAAAGTGTACCTAAGCTATTATTTTAAAGCCTCCGTCAGGCGACCACTCAAACTTTCGGATGATTTTATTTTCTCTTGTGGATGCCATTTCCTTAAGGATGTGACATTATTATTATTTTTCGAAACTTAATTGTATTATGTTCATATAATTAAATTACATTAAGTTGACATCATTCATTTACTTTGCGATGATATTATTGTTTAAAATATGAAGCATTATGCCCAATGAAACGGAAACTGGCTTACTCTTCCACATTTTTGCTTCCTTGTACAAAGTAAAAGAAGTATTGTAATCGCTAAACATTTTGGGTATCATATTTCAACGGAAATATATATTTTGACTGCTCTCTTATCCATTTCGAAGATTTAATATTTTCATGATATCTGTACGTGCGGACATAATGAAAAGCAATGTTTTCAAAACGAACTGTAAAATGGATTTGAAGTGGATTCAAAAAGAATTTTTTCTGCACGTCCGTATGTATCTACGTATATATGCATATATCTCGCATAACTCAAAGACGATTAGCCGTAGAACGATGAATTTTTGTATATGATACTGCTATAACATCAAGTTGTGCACCTCCCTTTTTTATTGCAATCGCCAGCACCAAACGGTATATCCTTACCCGGCTTAAAAGTCCTTACTCAGCTTTTATTTTCGCAATCGTCAGACGTAGTCATTTACTTCTAGTTACAGAATTTTTTTAAACGAAGAACATATTCATGTTTTGACAATGTCAAATGTTAAAACGAATTAATTTTTGACGAATGACGAAATCTGACTTTTATTATGATCTTCCGGTTCCTATAATTATATTGGGAAATTTTTACTCTTGTTTTTAAAAAATAAAATTATAAGAAATTTGACTCCCTTACGAGAAAAACTGATTATTCAATTTCAGTATTTGCAATTTTTGAGGTCATTTTCAACTTGTCTTGAAGGATCGGTTAGTTAAGTTAGAATAATTCGAGGAAATAAGTTTAAATGAAATGCAGCAGAATATGTTATACATATTAATAACTTAATAGGCCGTACAAAAATGTCATGTGGTGTCCACATCAGAATTTTTTTTCAATGGCATTTCTTAGAGGAGGAATGATATTCAAGCTTGATGTTTTGCATTCCCAGAAATACTTGTTATTTTGAAAAGTGGATTTATGGAAATTTGTATTGTTTATGGAAAGTGGTCGTCATAAGAGGTGCCACTGCATATATGGGTGTTATGGTTTATCATTTTTTTTTCACATTTCTCTTTTATTTTATTAATTAAATTTCGGGTTAAAATTTTCATATTTTCATAGAATTTTAATTACAAAAATCTTCTTCTTTGCAGAAAACTTCAGCCACCAGAGAGTGAAAGGCTAAAGTTACAACGAACTGGCAATTCGCTCCAAGTTCTGTTACCAACAGTAGAAATACGCTGAATTCACGGAAATGCAGCGATGCCCCATCATATGTAACAACCATACGAAGCAATTTCTCTCTGAAAATCTTCCATCAAAATTCTGGGATGCATATTTCTTATACTCTTGGCCATAATGAGATAATCCTATTAAATGCAAACTTGACTGACTTGGCAAACTGCGTAACTGTCAATGAATGAAAAATGCTGATTTATTAATTAGAATTTTGCATCACAGAAATCTAAAACATTTAGTGTATTGTCATGGAATTCATTGTATACAACATCTGTTAAAAACATTCCTAACCTGTAGCTACGTTTTTATTAGGAACAAATTAATTAACGTCAGGTTTATTGTTTGTTGCAATAAACCCATGAATAGCGAGAATTAAAATAATAAATATTAAAATATAACGTAATATTAACAAGTAAACTTGTATATATTGGTAAAAAGAAGGACCTACGAACAAACCTAAGAAACCAAAACTAGCGCGAAACAGTAACAAGGAAGTAAATGCATTAAATCAGCCAATCGGAGAGTATCAACTGAAAAGTTGCCGTTTCTTGCGCCGCGATTACGCAATATACGCGCCTCTTGACTTTTCCTAGAATTTCCTGGAATACAAGAACAAGGTTAGCCAATCAGAATGCTCCTAGGGATTTTTATGAGGAAGTAAATTCTTAGGGATTTCGAATAGGGAATTTTTATTTCTCTCTTCATCTCTCGCCGCTACACCGAATCTCCCTGTTAACAGTGTTTCTATCAGATAAAACCCCATCTATGAGTACAACAAAAAATATAAATATTATTTAACAAGATGCCCAGAGTTGCTAAAGTAAGTTCATGATAATAAAATCTCACAATTAAAAAGGTTAGTATTTCATTTAAATTACAATTTATGACTACTTTAAATGCATTCGAAATTAAAATTATTTAATTGAATAAATATTTGTTTTCAAAATGTTGCAATAAAATTATTTGTTATAAATATTGGTCCCCTCCTCTCTCCACTGTAATAATTAGTATTTAAGTCATGTTTATTTTTTTTAATCTAGAAAGACATCAGTATTTTTTTATGCTAAGCTTAAAATTATTTGTTGAAATATCGATGTTATTGAGTTTAATTTTTGCAATGCATTAATATTTTATGATTTTATGGTATTTATGTGTGGAGGTGAGGGGTCTGATTGAGAAATTTTGTGCATTGATATATTTATGCTGTTGTTTATGTATATGATTCTTATCGCGAACTGTGTAAAAATATGCCCTTTTCTGAACCTTATCTTGACACTTTGAAATTGTGCTTTACGTTTAAAATACTTAAATGTTCTGAATAAATAAAAAAAAGAAAAGAAAATCACGAGGTTTTAAGTTTTCGCAAATATTTATACTTAAATATTTTTCAAATTTTGCTGTGCTTTAGTTTGTTACTTATGTTAAATTTAATGTTGTTTTAGTTCATGTAAAACATCATTTATTGTATTCTGTTTCTCAATGTTTGTTACTTAAAAGAATAGTTAATATTATTAGATTTTTCTGATCGTAACTTTAATATTTTAAAATTTCCATTTTTTAACTTGTACATTTTATTGTCTTACATATTTCTGACACATGTCTATAATTAAATATTTATATGTATAATTCAGCAAAAGTAATTTTTAATATAATACGTATAAAGAATTATAAGCCTGTTTACTTCACTTCTATTTTATATGCCAAGATTTTAGCTGATCAATAACTATGGTTTTCAAAATAATAAAATAAATAAAAGTATTCCAAGCTATTATTTTACATTCATAAAATTGCTTATATGCGTTAAATAACTAATTAAAAAATATTAGAAGAGTTTACATAAGAAATGCAAGATAGTAATAGTATGAAAGCAAAAGAGAAGGTAACCGACCTCTTTCGAAAGGCCGATTTCGGCTAAAAAATCTCCATTTTTTTATTTCACATTTTTAAAGGTCATAATACAATCAAAACTACTTTTCTTTTCTTAACATGTTTATTAGAAGTGAAGATAAACCAGTTTTTTTTTGAGAGACGGTAAACCGGAAGTTATTTTTTGCCACAGCGGAAGTGAAAGTTTAAAGGGCAAATTAAAAACTTAATTTTCGCCTTTTTATGTTATGTGTTATCTAAATAATTTTAAGCATTTAAGTTAGTTTAGAGAATCTGGAAAAGTATTTTTACTATAAATTTTCTCATTTTACGTTTGGCAAAGTGAATAGTTGTGTATATATGTGGGGCATTGTTAATCTGAGAAATTTAAACGCTATTTTTTATACTTTTTTTATGATTTATTTTCAAACAACCATGATAACTCTAAAAATTCCCTTACAGAATCACTTGAAATTTTGCAAACAGAGTTTGCATATTATTATGCATGATATAGGCTGAGAGTTAAAAAATTAGCCTTACAGAATTTAAATTATATAATTTTTCCTTCAATAGTGTACGCGTTTGTTTTCTAATTTTTGTGTGTTGACTAGCATATTTAGCCATGCATTAATCAACATTTTCCAATTATTCTACTTCACTGCACTCTTATGGTTAATCATAATTATTTTCTAGTCAGTGATAGCTGATGTTTTTGTTAATTTCGATGTAAAATGTTTAGTTTTTGCACGAACTTCACAAAATAATGAATCTGTTATCACTTTTCTAGTGATTATATTTAAGTGTGAATACAATCCAATAAAAAAATGTCATAAATTGAGAAATATAACAAACATTTTGAAAATGGCCCTTCGAAAGAGGTCGGTTATCTTAGTACTACAAAAAGTAAATTATGGATAACTAGGAAAAAATAACAGAACTTTTTTCCGAAAATAAATAAATCAACATTATGGTGCCCTTGAAATTTTATTTCAGAAAATATTTATGATTTGTTTTCAGTGTATTTTAAAAATAAAATTATGTATAATATTACATAAGGATATTATGGAGTCTTTCTATTATGGAGTCTTTCCTTTGGTTTAATATTCCCATAAAGAACAAAAATTCATTTGTGTGTTAATATATATGTTATATATTAATATGTATGAAAAAATAATAAAATGAAACAAATCTGAAGAGAATTTATTGAAATTCACTGTTAAACAAACACCTTTGCCGCTTAGAATGGAAAGCAGGTTAACGGAAAGCAAGTTTTGGAAGAATATTTTAGTCAATCAAATACTTAAAAAAAAAAAAAAAAAAAAAAAAAAAAAAAAAAAATGGTGAATATTTACTGTCTTTACATCCAACCGCAAATGCAGGAAGACATTATCAGGAAGACATTATTATTAATTATTTTTGGCTACTGAAAATTTTATTTCCTTTTATGTTCAACCACAAAACCACGAAATGATATTGTTTTCTAATGTTTGTATAGTAAAAGGTGTTTACCAACAATTCCATAAGATTCAGATCTTTTGAGAAGATGGTTACCATCAGTGATTTTATTCCCATTGTTTATGTATGTTCTCGAAAATTAGGTCATTTTCATAGGTACTAGTACTACTAGTAAGGATGGTCGCCTGAGAGTTTCACCATTTTGTGCTTACAATTTATTTCCAATGTTCTTAATTAATTTTACTTTTAAACGTCTGTTCTATTTGCTTCAAGTGATGTAAGTATTTTTTAAGCTATGGAAATTAATATGTTCTCATAGTACATAATGTAATTGCATTTTATTGTAAGGTTCCTATTTGTATTTTAGATCTTATTCTTACTACTCGCGTAAGAATTGGCAAATCTAGTAGGAGAAAAATAAATAGAAATTTAAAAACTTTTATTTCGTTTATTTACAGTTACAAATGCAGAAAAATAAGTTTTAACTTTTTATCTTCTTTTTTTTTATTTGTTTATTTTTGGAAAGTAATAAAAAAATAATGAAAATTTCTCTAATAAATTATCTGAAAAATATTTTATTTATTCTTTGCTTCTTGCCTTTATGATCGTGTACTTAACATGTACTTAAATAGGTGTTAAATTTGGATTTTTCTTATACTGTTTAAAACGCAATTTTTCCCACTACCGAATGCGTTTTCTTTCTACTGTAATTTTGACTGTTAAATATAGTAAAAAAATAGATCATATGATATAGGAAAACTACGGTTATATTTCTATTAAACAATAACAGGATATAAAGAAATTTTATTTTATTTTATTTATTTTGAGTTTTATTAATGAATGAATTTTTATACAAAATTTATAATTTATTTTTATTGACTAAGCAAATCGTGTATGTGTGTACATTAACATAAATGTGTTTTTAAAAGAAAATAATGCAAAAGGAAACAAATTCAGCAAACAGAAATAAAAAATATTTGAAAAAATAATAAATCCATGAATTACTATCACGTATAGAAAATCAAAACGAGCATAAAGTTTAAAAACTTGTTACTTTTCGAAGTTAACACCCTTTATGGATGACTGCTATATATATATATATATATATATCTGTATATATATTGCACCTAAGACAGATGTTAAGTATTCGTAGAGCTACAATCCATCTTTACGATTGCAACAGCAAAATGCCTTTCCTATCCAGAGCAGGAGGTGAATTCAAAGAGATGATGATGAAAAACAGAAAGATCAAAAAATAAAATATAAAAATGATGATTTTATAGCTTTGATGCCTTTTTGCATTCCATACTTTTAGTTGGTAATTATTTTTACATTACACTTTAGATTCATTTTCCCCCTCATCACTGTCCGGTTAATTTTGGGAAATACCTCTTTTTAACTTTATACATATTTTAACCACTTATTAGCAAATTAAGTTATGTTTTAGCAGTATAAGATTTCAGCTTTTAATTTATTTCCATTTTAGATATAATTATCTGTATTGACTTAATGGTTACTTCGTGCAAAAAATGCTAATCAACAAGTACTCGTTATAGCACTTTTATTTCATTTCTATAGCAGCAGCATTCCAAAGTAATCTAAAAATCGTTGTTTGCGCATGGCTAAGATTATAAAACTAACTAAAGTTACTGTAATTAATTCTTAATACCCTCTAAAAACATATGTCAGACGAAATATAAAAGGCTAATAAAATAAAATAATATAAACATAATTTGCAATATTGAAAGTGTAGAATCACTGGTTATTTAGAAGCGGAAGACGTGCAAAATGTACAGTACACTAGCCGGGAATTGATCCCTGGACATCTTGAATACGCTTCGAGTATGCTTCCAATTACGCCACGAAGGCATGCGGAAAGGATGAAGAAAATACCTTATGAACTCCCCTCCCCCTTTACAGAGCGACTGCAGATGAGGAGACTAATCGCCAAATCCTGGTGATGACGAACTATCGTCCACCACTTTTTAGTTCGGGCGCCACTTGTAGAGTCATTAGATTATTTTGAAGTAGGAGACGTGAAAAACGTGCAGTGCCTTCGCCAGGACTCGGAACCCTAGACCTCTTGAACAAGTGTCGACTGTGCTTCCAATTACAATGTAAAGGCTGCGAAAGGGAAGGATAAATTACCTAATATACTCCGCCTTTTAAAGAACGATTGGGGATTAGGAGACTCTAGCTGCCAGTTCCTGGTAGTGATGAATTATCGCCCACCACCTTTTAGTTCGGGCGCCACTTATAGAGTCATTATATTTTTTTTCCGATGCTGAAGACCTGAAAAATGGATAGCCGGGAGTCGAATCCTGGACCTCTATCGAACGAAGGCACGCGGAAAGAAGGGAGAAAATTTTTTTAAATAATATCCAATGACAAAACTTGTAACTTTTACGCAAAATAAATTTAATTTAATGTAATAAAAATATACCTTGATATAGCGCTGCACTTTATTAGTTCACTTTTATACAAACTCAACTTTTTTCGTATCTGTCTCTAAAATTTTTACTGAAACTTTTGTTG